TGCTTGCCTTGCATGCCTGAGGCCCTGGGTTCGATTCCTCAGCACCACATAAGCAAAAAGAAAAAAGCCGGAAGTGGTGCTGTGGTTCAAGTGGTAGAGCACTAGCCTTGAGCTGAAGAGCTGAGGGACAGCGCCCAGGCCCAGAGTTCAGGCCCCACGACCGGACCCAAAAACTAAACAAACAAACAAAGAATTTCCTTTCTCCTTCTTGAGCCAGTTCTGGAGGATTTCCCCTGAATTTCTGTGTTTACATACCACAGTAGCCACTTTCAGACTTCAAGCTATATTGAGTTCAGGCTGGGAAATATTGTAGAAGAAAATGAAAAAGTCATCACTATTTATTGTTTTTTTTTTTAACTCTGAGACTGGGACTTGAACTCTATACCAACTGAGCCACACCTCCAACCCCTTACTGCGGTTTTTTTTGTCAGTTGTGGTGCTTGAACTCAGGGCCTCGTCACTTTCCCTGAGCTTTTTTGTACAAGCCTAGTGCTCTACTATTTTGAGCCACAGTGCAACTTCTGGTTTTCTAGTGGTTAACTGGAGATGTAAGTCTGACAAACCTTCTTGCCCAGGCTGAGTTTGAACTACAATCCTTAGATTTCAGCCTCCTGAGTAGCTAGGATTACAAGCATGAGCCACAAGAGCCCAGCTCTTACTGGTTCTTTTCATTCTTCTATTCATCTTTGAACTGCCTGCTGATTAAATAGTTGTCATTTTTAAAGTAGAAGACCTAAGCTGGGCATGGCAGATCATTCCTTTAATACTAGCTACTTGGAGGGATCACAGTTGGAAGCCAGCCCAGGCCAAAATAGTACATGAGATCCCATCCCAATCAATAAAAAGCTGGGCATGGCAGCTATCATCCTAGCTATATGGGAAGTGTAAATAGGAGGATCAAGATCCAGGTTGGCCTGAGCAAAAGTGAGACCCTACTAGAAAACCAAAGATAGCAAAAATGGATGAAGTGGTTGAGTGCCTGCCTATACATTTAAGCCCCAATATCACCAAAAGAACAAAATAGTTAACCCAGATTGAGATTATACAATAATTCCTTTTATTTAAATGCCACCAAAAAATCTAGTTAGAAAGGACAGTGTTCTACTAGGCTCTGGTGTCACAAGCCCATAATCCTAGCTACTCAGGAAGACGATATCTGAAGATCCTGGTTCAAAGCCAGCCCAAGCAGAAAAGTCCATGAAACTGTAGTTCAAGTGATAGAGTGCTAGCCTTGAGCAAAAAAAGCTCAAGCATAGTGCCCAGGACTTGAGTTCAAGTCCCAGGACCTGCACCAAAAAAAAAGAGAAAAAGAAAAAAATTAGAAAGGACAAGGTTTCATATGGGGTGAGATGCCCAAAGGCTGAGTGAGTGCTCTTTGGATTTTGTAGGCACCATGGCTGAGGAAACAGCCCCAGCAGTTCTTGAGCGACACCAAGGATCCCTGTACTCCCTCTTTCCTGACCACCAAGTGAAGAAGTACTTTGACCAGGTGGACATCTCCAATGGCTTGGATTGGTCCTTAGACCACAAAATCTTTTATTACATCGACAGTCTGTCCTACTCGGTGGATGCCTTCGACTACAACCTGCAGACAGGAGAGATCTGTATGTTCTTTCTCATCGTTTTTCTCAATAAGGCTGGTTTCATTTTCAGATGATCGGGGCTAGGAAGTTAGCTCTCTTTCAACCCATGTGGCTCTCAACCCTTACTTGCCAACACTGAGATTTCCATGTTATTCCAATATAATGATAATTATGCAGACTTGACTAAGCTATCAGTCAAACTATGGCCTTCAGCACAATGTAAATACAATCACTAGGGCTAAGGGTGTTGCTTAGTTATAGAGTGCTTGCTTGGCATGTGTGAAGTCCCTAGTTCCATCCCTGAGGCCCTGAGTTCCATCCCTGAGGCCCAGAGTTCCATCCCCAGCATCTGCAAACATATGCACATGCACATTCATATGCATGCACACACACATAACATGCACGCACATATACTCACATGCATGTGTAGCCATAGTTGGCCTAGTATGGGTAGACTCTCAATATTTTCTTTCAAGGGGCCCCTGGAAAATTGATCTTGTGCTACCAGAACCTACCTTTTCTTTTTTTGTCAGTCATGGGGCTTGAACTCTGGGCTTGGGCACTGTCCTTGCACTCTTCAGCTCAAGGCAAGTGGTCTACCGCTTGAGCCATAGCGCCACTTCTGGTTTTCTGGTGGTTTATTGGAGATAAGAGTCTCACGGAATTTCCTGCCCAGGCTGGCTTTGAACCGTGATCCTCAGATCTCAGCTTCCTGAGTAGCTAGGATTACAGGCATGAGCCACCAGTACCCAGCTAGAACCTGCCTTTAAAAGTATGGGTAGACCGTCAATATTCTTTCTTTCAAGGCCCCCCTGGAAAATTGATCTTGTTCCACCAGAACCTGCCTAAAGGCAAATACTATACAACCAAATGTGATAAATAGCAGATAAATTGAGTTTGGGGTTGCTGTTTCTTATTTGTTCTTTATTAACCATAGGCAAGTACTCAGAGACCAATGAACAACCTTTGAAAATAGAAAAGCAAAAAAAAAAGTACTTGGAAGTTGGTTTAATTCCATCAATGTGCTGTAAAAGAACCATAATTGGATATTGGAAGGAAAAGAATTATTTAAAAGTATTTAGAAGAGAGTCCTTGAAACTGTTTGATGAAAGGTAACAGACCAAAGAGCAAAACCAATCATAAAAATGACTTGAAAAGAAATCACAAGACTCTTCATGTAGATTTAATCAGGGGCAAAATATTCTGGTACAGATGTTTTGCTTTGAAATATGTAGTGCTCTTTTTTATAGCTTCTCTAACTGATTTTCCCTTGCACATGGTTTTAACATTTTCCATTATACCTCAATCTGATTACTGTAGTGGCCTGGATTTTGCAGCAAGCTGTTCCTCTGGCTTGGTGTTTTGTTTTACTTTGCAGTGCTGGGGATCGAACCCAGGACAGCACACATGTTAAGCATGCCCTTTACCACTGGGCTATATCCCCAGCTTTTCTCTGGCTTTTGATATTTGCTTTAAGATTTCTGTAATTCTCTTTAACTACCTGGTGGATTTTAGAATGGTCCTTCTTTCAAAAGCAAGTTCTTCCAATATTTAGTCTTTATGTTACAGAATTTAGTCAGGCAGAAAAAAACCCCCGTATGTCCCAGATTTTGTTCATGTGGCACCATTAAGTTGCATTATAGACCTTGGGTCTAATCAAAGTGGGCCTTTTTGTAATCAAGAAGCAAACGTCTAACCACAGACTAAAGAATATTCTGATATAGGCCTGCAGGGCCTCAGGTCAAGTCACCCTCAAAAAGCTATCTATTGGTACTTTATTAACAGTTCTGGTCAAGTATAGTAGTTCATTTGTAATTCTAGCTACTTAAGGGGCAGAAATCAGAAGGATTACAATTTGAAGCCAGTTTGAACAAAAGTTAGCAAGAACCCATCTCAATAACAACAAAAAAGCTAGGTATAGTGTTCTGTGCCTGTTATCCCAGGTTATATAGGAGAATTGTGGTCCAGGCCATCCTGGGCAAAAACACAAGACCCTATGGGAAAAATAACTGCAGTAAAAAGGAGGTGTGGCTTAAGTGGTATAACAATTCCAAGGATGTAATTTCAAATCCCTGTACACTGTCCTCCCCCCAAACCCCACAATTCTACTTTCTCATTCATGAAGCATTTGCTAGCATGCCCAAGGCCCTGAGTTCCACTTCTAGCACCACAAGACAAAAGAAAAAAAAAAACCTTTTTCTACTCCTCTGCAAGCTTCAACAGATATGTCTGTACCAAAACAAAAGGAAAAAAATCCAGCCCAAACCATGTGGTCAAAATCCTTTGTTCATATTCCAGACACTGAGTAAGCAGAAATGATCAAGCTTGATAATAGGCTTGATAGTTCACTGTGTGATTCTCAGTATTGAGTGGCCCTGTTGTTTTGCTGGGTTTGGGGTTTTGTTTTTTAACCACAGCTAACCGCAGAAGTGTTTACAAGCTGGAGAAAGATGAACATATCCCAGATGGAATGTGTATGGATACTGAGGGGAAACTTTGGGTGGCCTGTTACAATGGAGGAAGAGTGATTCGTCTAGATCCAGCTACAGGTATGCCCACAGCAAAACAAAAATCTTTACCAGCCAGACGTTAGTGGCTCATGTCTGTAATCCTAGCTATTCAGCAGGCTGAGGTCTGAGGATTGCTGTTCAAAGCCAACCCCAGGCAGGAAAGTCCACAGGAAACATTTCTAATTAACCACCAAAAAGCTGGAAGTGGAGCTGTGGTTCAAATGGTGGGTTATTAGCCTTGAGCAAGAAAAGCTCAGGGACAGTACTCAGGCCCTGATTTCAAGCCCCAGGAATGGCATTTTAAAAATTCCCACCAGGTGCCCATGGCTCACATCTGTAATCATAGCTGCTCAGAAAGCTTGCTTAGCAGCGTGAAGTGCTGGGTTTGATTCCTCAGTACTACATAAACAGAAAAAGCAGGAAGTGGCACTATGGCTGAAGTGGTAGAGCACTAGCCTTGAGCAAAAAGAAGCCCAAGGACAGTGTCCAGGTCCTGAGTTCAAGCCCACAACTGGCAAAAAAAAACAAAAACAAACAAACAAAAAAAAACCAGCCCAGGCAGACAAACCCAAAATCTCCAATTGACCTGAAGCCCTGCAGGCCTATATCCATTTCCAAAAAATCTGGAAGTGGAGAAATAGCAAAGTTACAGAATGCTAACTTTGAGCATAAAAGCTCAGGGACAGCACCTAGGCCCTGGGTTCAAGTCCCAGGAATGGCACACAAACAAAAATTCCCTACTGGGCTGGGAAGATGGCTCAGTGGTAGAGTACTTGCTTTGCATGAATGAGACCCTGGGTTTGATTCCTTAGCACCACATAAGCAGAAAAAGGTGGAAGTGGCGCTGTGGCTTCAGTGGTAGAGCACAAGCCTTGAGCTGAAGAGTTCAGGGACAGCACCCAGGCCCAGAGTTCAGGCCTCACAACTGACAAAAAAAATAAAAAATAAAAAAGTAAGGGCTGGGAAGGTGGCTCAGTGGTAGCGTGCTTGCCTTGCAAGCCTGAGGCCCTGGGTTCGATTACTCAGCACCATATAAGCAAAAAAGGAAAAATAAATAAAACTTAACAAAAAGGGCTAGGAAGGTGACTCAGTGATAGAGTGCTTTGCCTTGCATGCATGAGGCCCTGGGTTTGATTCCTTAGCACCACATAAGCAGAAAAGGCCATAAGTAGTGCTGTGGCTCAAGCCTTGAACTGAAGAGCTGAGGGACAGCACCTAGGCCCAGAGTTCAGACCCCACGACTGACCAAAAAAAAAAAAAAAAATCCCTACCAATCCAGAAAAACCCAGGGGCTAGAGACCAAGGATACCAACTTCCTAATTAATTTCAAGATATATTCAATAATGTCAATGGGATCATTTTGAAATGAAGACCAAAGATACATTCCAAACTGATAATCTGAGCTTATTCCCCTGGAAGTAAGTCTCTGCTCAAAATAAACTATCCAGGAAGACAGATGAATTCTGACCTCCATGGTTTCCTTAGGACTGATATGTTATTCCACAAAGGAGTCAGAAACATTACATGGTTGAGACATTGCTAGAACTGAACTTTCACTTTGGTACTCTAGGAAAAAGGATACAAACTGTGAAGTTGCCTGTTGAGAAGACAACTTCATGCTGTTTTGGAGGAAAGGACTACTCGGAAATGTATGTGACCAGTGCCCGGGATGGTCTGGATGCTGAGGGGCTTCTGAAGCAGCCGGAAGCTGGTGGAATTTTCAAGGTGATGTGTCTTTCTCTTTTATTTGGAGATGAGTTGGAGGATCTTCTGTTAGGAAACTGTGAAAGATGGGTGGTATTATATCCTTTCCAAACCTAGTTGCTATAGCATATTAAGTTCATTTTACTGGTCGTACTTATTTAAGTTATCTAGACTGTAGGCTCTGTGAAATCCCAGATCTAGCTTACTTTGTAACAGGATGTGTGTGTGTGTGTGTGTGTGTGTGTGTGTGTGTGTGTGCACGCGCGCGTGTGTGTGCTGGTCCTAGGGCTTGAACTTAGGGCCTGGGCATTATCCTTTTGCTCTTTTGCTCAAGGCTGGTGCTCTACCACTTGAGCCACAGCTCTACTTCTAGCTTTTTTGGTAACTGATTAGAAATAAGAGTCTCTCATGGATTTTCTTGTCCAGGCTGGCTTTGAACCATGATTCTCCTATCTCAGCCCCCTAAATATATAGGATTAAAGGCGTGTGAGCCACCAGCATCTGGCTTGTAACAGGATTTTAAAACATTTTTGTGCATTAGGAGTATTTATTGAGGGCTGGGAAGGTGGCTCAGTGGTAGAGTGCTTGCCTTGCATGCATGAGGCCCTGGGTTCAATTCCTCAGCACCACATAAGCAGGAAAAACTGGAAGTGGCGCTGTGGCTCAAGTGGTAGAGTGCTAGCCTTGAGCTGAAGAGCTGAGGGACAACACCCAGGCCCAAAGTTTAGGACCCATGACTATCAAAAAAGAAAAGAAAAGAAAAGGAGTTTTCTATTGAAATCCTTCAATTTAGTATAATTTTATATGATCATTTGATTGTTTTTCAGAGTATTTTCAGATTTTTAACAATTTTTTGCAGTAGATTATTAATAAAGATCATAAACTGGACTGGGAAGGTGGCTCAGTGGTAGACTGCTTGCCTTGCATGCATGATGCCCTGGGTTCGATTCTTCAGCATCACATAAGTAGAGAAAGCCGGAAGTGGTGCTGTGGCTCATGTGGTAGAGTGCTAGCCTTGAGCTGAAGAACTGAGGGACAGTGCCCAGGCTCAGAGTTCAGGCCCCACGACCGTCTAAAATACAAGCAACAACAACAACAAAATCATAAACTTTTGAGGATGGCAGTACTGGGGATTGAACTCAGGATTTTGTGCTTGCTACATGGGCATCAAACCTCTTGAACAACCCCTCCAGCCCCTTGTTGTGTTGACTATTTTCAGGATAGAGTCTTGCTTTATGCTTGGGCCAGCCTGGACTGCTATCCACCTATTTGGACTTCCCCATATCATTGTAATGACAGACATGCACCACTTCACCCAGCCATGAGTTGAGATGGAATCTCACAAACTGTTTTTCTCAACCAGGATGGTCTTTAACCCATTTCCCCCAGGCTCCACCTCTCAAGTGGCTTTTGCCTCTGTACTCAGTTCAAGATCACAAACCTTTAGAGTCAAAAAGAAATGACCATGTGGAAGTGGTGCTGTATCTCAAAGTGATAGAGTAAAAGAGCTCAACAACAGCAACCAGGCCCCAAGTTTAAGCCCATGGCCAACAAGAAAAGAAAAGAAAAGAAATGACTATGTGTGGTGACATAAGCCCATGGCCTCAGCACTCAGAAGGCATGAAGATTACAAATTCAATGACAGCATAGGCTTCATAGGAAGTTTAAGGGCAGCCTGAATTTACTCCTCCCCCTTCTCTTTCTTTGTCTTACTATTTCTTTCTTTTTGGTCAGTTGAGGGGCTTGAACTGGGGCCTGGGCACTGTCCCTGCTCAAGGCGAGCACCCTATCACTTGAGCCCTGCACCGCTTCCAGTTTTCTGGTGGTTAATTGGAAATAAGAGTGTCATGGATTCTCCTGCCCAGCTGGCTTTGAACCATGATGCTCAGATCTCAGCCTCCTGAGTAGCTAGGATTACAGGCCTGAGCCACTGGCACCTGGCTCTATTTCTTTTTTTTTCTTTTTTGTCAGTTGTGGGGCCTGAACTCTGGGCCTGGGCACTGCCCCTCAGCTCTTCAGCTCAAGGCTAGTGCTTTACCACTTGACCCACAGCTCCACTTCTGGCTTTTTCTGCTTATGCAGTGCTGAGGAATCAAACTCAGGGCCTCATGCATACAAGGCAAGTACTCTACTACTGAGCCACCTTCCTAGACCCTCTATTTCTTTATTATTTCATTAGTCATGGGATTTGAGTTCAGGGCCTAGGCGCTGCCCCTGAGCTCTTTCACTCAAAGCTAATTCTCTACCACTTTGAGCCACAGCTCCACTTCTGGCTTTTTGTTGGTTAATTGGAGATAGGAGTCTCAGACTTTCCTGCCCTGGCTGGCTTCAAACTGCAGTCCTCAGATCTCAGCCTCCTGAATAGTTAGGATTATAGGCATGAGCTACTAGCACCCAGCCAGCTTGAACTTTCTATTAAAATGAAAGGGAAGGGTTGGAGTGCTAACCAATGAGCAAAAGTGTCAGGTAAAATGTTCAAGACTAGAAAAGGAAAGGGGAAAGGGAAAAGAAAGGAAAGGAAAGGAATATAAAGACAATGCTTTTTAGTTGTATTTTTAAAACGTTTCCACATTTTTATTAGCACATAGTAATTATACAATGTGACAGGTTGATTTTGATATTTCCATATATGTATATAATATATAATTTGATTATATTAACCCCCTCTATTGCTTTCTTACCCTCCTCTGCTCTTCCTTTCTCCCTTATAATAATACTTTTGCCAGATGCTAGTAGCTCGTACTTGTAAATCCTAGGTTACTCAGAAGTCTGAGATCTAAGGAATTTGGTTCAAAGCCAGCCCTGGAAGAAAAGTCTTCAGTACAGTTTGTGTGTTTGTGCTGGTCCTAGGGCTTGAACTCAGAACTAGGCGCTTTAGTGCTCAAGACTAGTACTCTAACACTTAGAACCATAGCTCCATTTCTGGCTTTTTGAGATGAAGAGTCTCATGACTTTTCCTGTCCAGGCTGGCTTGGAACCCCAGTCCTCAGAGCTGAGCTTCCTGAGGAGCTAGGATTACAGGCATTGGTCACCAGCACCCAGCTCTCTTCAGGACTTTTATCTCAGGTTAACCAGCAAAAAGCTGGAAAGTGGAGCTGTGGCTCAGGTAGTAGAGAACCAGCCTTGAGCAAAAAAAGCTAAGGGACAGCACTCAGGCCCTGAGTTCAAGCCCCAGTACTAAAAATAAGCAAACAAACAAAAACTTTTAAAGAGTTCTTGTAAGTGATTTCTTAACAGAGGTTTTCTTTTTTGCATTTTTTCAACAGGTAACTGGCCTTGGGGTTAAAGGAATTGCTCCCTGTCCATATTCAGGGTGAGCAATATTGAAGACCACCGAAAAATTCAGGAAATAAATTCGTGGAAATTTAGTCTAGTTTTTAAATGAAACAATCACATTATTAACAGTGCTAAGTTTTCATTTACAATGGGAGGAAAGGTGAGGATTGAATTTAGAGCTTTGTGTATTCTAAGCCCCTGTTCTAGCAATCAGCTGCATCCCCAGCCCATTACTAAAAGGTTTCTGATAGGTTGAACATTTTGAACAGGGTCTGGCAAATGATTTTGATTTCATACTCAAAGGCCTTCCTGAAAATCACCATAGAAATGTAGCATTCCACTCTCAACCAACTTGTTGATTGTTTGCAAATTGCTCAAGGACTACATCTGTTCTTTTTTTTGCTAGCCCTGGGGCTTGAACTCTGGGTGCTGGATTCTGCCCCTGCGCTCCTTTCGCTCAAGGCTAGCATTCTACCACTTGAGCCACAGGCCACATCTGGATTTTCCTGTGCTTACTTGGAGATAAGAGTTTCACAGACTTTCCTGCCCAGGCTGGTTTCAAACCGTGACCCTCAAATCTCAGCCTCCTGAGTAGCTAGGATTACAGACATGAGCCAACTGCGCCTGGCCACATCTGTTCCTTTATTCTGCATTCCATAACTACCTAGCACTTCAGAGATGAATGAAGAGAAAGTTGCTAATGATTCTGAATTATGTTCCTTTTTGTTTTTATTATAATCATATAAAATATACCATGATACTAACCTGCCTTATTATTCTCTTTGTTTTATTGTTGGTTTTACTTGTTATTAACTTTATTCTGTTCTTTTACAAACTGAATGGACTGCCAGAGGTCTCAAATTCACTGGCAAAATATGTGGTTCCCACTGCCACCTACTGGACATAATGTAAACAACACTTTGGAAATATTTATTTTGTCCCTTTGCTTTCCCTCAGTTTTCCCCTCCCATCCCTGTCCAAAAGTTGCATAGTTCATTTCCCACATAGTATATACTGAATACCATAATTGCATTTGTTCACCCTTCCTTCCTTTTATTCTCCAGGTTGTTCATTTATTTATTTATTTATAATTGTTGATGTACAGAGGGATTACAGGTCCATAAGTCAGATAAAGAGTATATTTCTTTTTTTTTTTTTTTGTCAGTTGTGGGGCTTGAACTCTGGGTCTGGGTGCTGTCCCTCAGCTCTTCAGCTCAAGGCGAGCGCTCTACCACTTGAGCCACAGCACCACTTTTGGTTTTCTGGTGATTTGTTGGAGATAAACGTCTTATGGATTTTCCTGTCAGGGATGGCTTTGAACCAAGATAATCAGATCTCAGCCTCTTGAGTAGCTAGGATTAAAGGTGTGAGCCGATGCGGCCTGGAATACATTTCCTTTTGAACAGTGTAACTCCTTATCTCGATCTTTCCCAGTTTTTCTCTCCCATTCCCACCAACAAGTTATATAGTTCATTTTCCCTTTTTTTTTTTTTTGTCAGTCACAGGGCTTGAACTCTGTAACTCTGGGCCTGGGAACTGTCCCTGAGCTCTTCAGCTCAAGGCTAGCACTATACAACTTGAGCCACAGCACCACTTTTGGTTTTCGGGTGGTTAATTGGAGATTAGAGTCTCCTGGATTTCTTGCCCAGGCTGGCTTTGAAACGCAATCTTCAGATCTCAACCTCCTAAGTAGCTAGAATTACGGGTGTGAGCCACCAGTGCCCAGCTTTATTGTTTATTTTCAGCACAGTGTCTAGTGAGTATCACTGCTACATTTTTCCATCCATGTCTGTGCCCCCTTTTACCTAAAGACAGATAAATGAACAAAAAGAAAACAAAAACAACAAAGAAAAAAACCTCTTGTTTCCGTTTTTTGGAGTTCATTTCGATAAATATTATTTTTTCTTTTGTCAGTTGTGGGGCTTGTATTCAGAGCCTTGGAGCTATCCATGAGCTCTTTTGTTCAAAACTAGCACTCTACCACTTTGAACCACAGTGCCACTTCCAGTTTTCTGATGGTTAATTGGAGATAAGAGTCTCACAGTCCTTCCTGCCTGGGCTGGCTTCAAACCAAGATATTTAGATTTTAGCCTTCTGAGTAGTTACAAGATTACAGGTATGAACAACCAGTACCTGGCTTGGAATTGTTTTAATTTGAGTATTAGCATCATGATCATAGAAACATGGCACCTCTTTCCAATTATTTAGGTCTTACTCCATTATTTTTATTAATATTTTGTACGTTTGAGCACATAGATCTTGGGACTTTAACTTGGGACCTGGGCACTGTCCCTAGCTCTTTAGCTCAAGGCTAACATTCTGCCACTTGGAGCCACAGTGCCACTTCTAGTTTTCTAGTTAACTAGAAGTCTCACAGAGACCTTCCTGCCCACGCTTGAACTGCAATCCTCAGATCTCAGCCTCCTGAGTAGCTAGGATTACAGGCATGAGCTACCAGTTCCCAGCTAGATCTTGTTGTGTTAAATTTTATATGCAAATATTTCATTCAGAACTATTGTTAAGTTGTATTTTTAGAAAAAATCATGGCATTTTAATTAATTAATTTTGTATACCAGTACTGAGCACTGACCCTTAGCTCAAGGCAAACCTTCTACCACTTGAGCCACACTACTACCAGCTGTTTGGAGGTTAATTGGAAATAAGAGTCTCATAGATTTTCCTGCCCAGGCTGGCTTTGAACTGCAATCCTGAGTTCTCAGCCTCCTGAGTAGCTAAAATTTACAGGTGTGAGCCTGCAGGGCCAGGTTCCTCTCTCTGTTTTCAGAACAGAACTCCAAATAAAGGTATATATACCATCATAGAACCATTCAACAGTTTCTGTTCATAGTAGAGCAACCAGTCCAACATGAAAGACTATTCCTGTGAAACTGCTTCGTTTTTCACATCTAAAAAATGGTCCAAGTTAGCTTTAGCTGCCCCCTAAATGAAGTCACAGAACAGCAGGAGACATCCCTTTGGCAAAAAAGGACACGTTCTTCTCCTGTATCTTATACTGATAAACAAGGCTCCAATCCCACTGGTCTGTGTGCTTCCTCCAAAGGGTCTTCAGCTGCCCGTGCACATCCTTTTAGAAGCCAGTGGCCAGGCCTTCAGCCTGCAGGATCAGTTGGCGCTGAAAACTTAGGCCATTCATCAGGAGGTCATTCTCCTCATCCTCATCACTGTTGTGCAAAAGGGCCACCATGTTTCCATGTAGTTCCAAGCACATAAACTCTCTGCAGTAGTGGACAAAGTCCAGCACAGCCACCACTCCCAAACCCAAGCTCAGCAGCACACTGAGGTCATCTACCAGCAGCATTCGCTGCTGTAGATGTAGCGTCCTCGCTGTCCATGGGTTTCAGGGCCTCCTGTACAAACTCATATAATGGTTGCAGGCTCCCAGCACTGGCTTTCCTTCTCATGAGACTGAGATCTAAGGATTGTGGTTCAAAGCAAGCCTGGGCAGGAAAGTCCACGAGACTCTCCAATTAACTGCCAAAAAAAAAATGGTAAGTTGTATTTTTAAAGTTTTTTTTCCAACTGATTATTCCTTGTTTGTAAAAGCATGATTAATAAGCCAGGTGCCAGTGATTCATACCTATGATTCTTACCTGCTCAAAAGGCTGAGATATGAATAGAGATTTAAGGTCAACCTAGTGAAAAAAAAATCCAGGATGGGAATGGGAAGGTGGCTTAGTGGTAGAGTGCTTGCCTAGCATGCATGAGGTCCTGGGTTCGATTCCTTAGTACCACATAAACAGAAAAACTAGAAATGGCATTGTGGCTCAAGTGGTGGAGTGCTAGCCTTGAGCGAAAGAAGCTCAGGGACAGTACTCAGGCCATGAGTTCAAGCCCCAGGACTGGCAAGAAAAAAATCCATGAGACTCTATCTCTGGTTTTTTGTTTTGTTTTTTTTTTTTGGTTGATTGTGGGGCCTGAACTCCGGGCCTGGGTGCTGTCTCTCAGCTCTTCAGCTCAAGGCTAGCTCTCAGCCACAGTGCCACTTACAGCTTTTTCTGCTTATGTGGTGCTGAGGAATCGAACCCAGGGCCTCATGCATGCAAGGCAAGCACTCTACCACTGAGCCACCTTCCCAGCCCCCATAAATCGGGTTGAGATTTCTTTTTTTTTGGTCATGGGGCCTGAACTCTGGGCCTGGGCGCTGTCCCTCAGCTCTTCAGCTCAAGGCTAGCGCTCTACCACTTGAGCCACAGCGCCACTTCCAGCTTTTTTCATGTTTGCTTATGTGGCGTTGAGGAATCAAACCCAGGGCCTCAGGCATGCAAGGCAAACGCTCTACCACTAAGCCATCTTCCCAGCCCCTTGTATCCTTTTTTTATTGCATCAAAAACTTAAGGAAAGCCAGGGGCCAGTGGCTCACACTTATAATCCTAACTACTCAGGGGGCTGAGATCTGAGGATTGCGGTTCAAAGCCACCCTGGGCAGGAAAGCCCATGAGAATCTTATCTCCAATTAACCACAAGAAAACTGGAAGTGGTGCTGTGGCTCAAGTGGTAGAGCGCTTGCCTTGAACTGAAAAACTGAGGAACAGCATCCAGACGCAGAGTTTAAGCCCCACAACCAACACAAAAACAAAGCAAAAAAAAAAAAGAAAAGAAAAAAAATTAAGGAAGCTTAACAATACTTTTAGAGAAAGTTTGCTGGTCAGAAATTCTCTTAATTTCCTTCTGTCTATCCCCCCTTCCTTTCTTTTTTACTTTTTTTTCTGTACGGGCCAGGCTTGAACTCAGGGTTTTACCCTCTCACCTGCTTGTTTGTTTTCCACTTGAAGCCAGCATTCGACTAGTTAAGACAAACCCTCACTTTCAACTTTTTGCTGGTTAATTAGAGGTAAGGGTCTCACAGGTTTTGCCTGCTTGAATTGGCTTTGATCTGAAATCCTCAAATTTCAGCCTCTCAATTGCTAGGGTTACAGTAGACTTGAGCCACAGCAAACAGCAGGGTTTTTGTTGTTGTTGTTTGTTTGTTTGTTTTTGTCGGTCGTGAGGCCTGAACTCTGGGCTTGTGCTCTCAGCTCTTCAGCTTAAGGCTAGCGCTCTACCACTTGAGCCACAGCACCACTTCCTGCTTTTTCTGCTTATGTGGTGCTGAGGAATCCAACCTAGGGCCTCATGTGTGCCAGACTAGCACTCTACCACTGAGCCACCTTCCGAGCTGTTTTTGTTTTTTTTAAAGGTAGTCCAGGGGCTTGAACTGAGGGCCCATGCACTGTCCTTGAGCTTCTTTTGCTCAAGAATAGTACTCTACCACTTGAGCCACAGTGCCGCTTCTGGCCTTTTCTACTTATGTGGTACTGAGGAATTGAACCCAGGGCTTCATGCATGCTAAGCAAGCAGTCTACCACGAAGCCACATTCCCAGCCCCCAGCAATTTTCTTTTGAGCAGA